ATTCTCTCAGGTGTATTGTGGCATCTCATTGTGGGTTTGATTTTAATTTCTATAAACTAATATGTTGAACAAGTTGAGCTATTTTTATGTCTACTTTCTATAAAGGTATTTTCAAGTCACAATTGTATTTCTGTTTGTAGGTGAGTTGTATAATTTCTATATTCTGGATACAGATTCCTGATGTGCTGTGTTTTGCCATATTTTTCTCCTCATCTACAGGTCTGGTTTGCCTTTTTGATTGTATATTTGGAAGTACCATCTTTTTATATTTATAATATATAATTTTTGTTTTTATTTCCTTTCTTTGGCTTCACAATCTTAGACTCCAGATATAAAATTGTAAAGCTTTACTTTCTTGCTTTTTTCCTAAAAGTTGGTTTAATTTTATGTTTACATCTTTGGTCCATTTTTAGTTGGATGTTTTTACCATATGAATCCAGGGCCTAACTTTAATCTTTTGTATGTCTCTGTCCAGATGAACCAACAGCATTTATTGAAAAGAATGGTTTTTTCATATTTTACTTTCATAGCACCTTTCTCAAAAATTCTTTGAACGATAGACATGTGGGATTATTTCTCATCAACACTACAATTCATCTGTCAGTTTTTTTGTCTTTGAATTTTAAGATCACAATATTTGTAAAGAATAATAATTTAAATTCTCTTTTTCCTATTCCTTTTATTTCATTCTTTGGCCTCATTGCTCAAAGATTTCAATTGATATATTGACTAAAAGTGGTGACAGTGGACATCTATGTCTTATTCCTTAATTTAAATAAAATGCTTTTAGATTTTTCTTGTCCATATGCTGTTTGGGATTTTCATGTATAACATTTATGATGTTGAAGTAATTTTCTTCTATCCTTTGCTACTTCAGTGTTTTTAATTTTTGATCAGTGCATTATAATTACACATAATATTGAGCTTCATTCTGACACAATTATACAAGCATGGAATATAATTTGCTCTATTTCAGTCTCTAGTACTTCCCCTGTTCCTCGCCTCTCCCTCTAACCTGTTCCCTTTCCTTTAGTCTACTGGTCTTTATTCTATTCATTTATCATTCTTTTTAATCAATGCATTATGGATATGCAAAAAGATGAAATTCAGTATGGTGAATTATATGCCCCCTTTATGTCATCCCAGAGCTATTGGAAAATCTCATCAAGGTTTCTTTTTTTCTCTTTTATTGCTGACTGAGGTTTATATATCTTGTTTCAACTGTGAAGTTTTATCTTCCAGGTGATCTAATATATTTACAAGAATTCAGCTAAATTTTTATTTGATTTATTGAGATTTTTATTTCTAGGATTTGTTTGGTCTTTTCAGAATATCTTTCACATCCTGTGTTCTCAAACAGAGTTCATTCCTTAGATCATGTTTTTTGTTATTGATAATGTTAACAATCAACTTTCCAAATAATTCGCTTGGGATTTCATCAACTGCAATATTTGTGAATTTAGTATTGGAGGATAATAAGGTTTGGAGACAGGCTGTCATCCTGTCTCCACATGTTTGCTGACATTCTGTATTTGTGTATATGTTGAGATGGATTCCTTCTTCTCACGTATGTGGGGGCATTTAATGAATATTTATTTCATCATTTTAAGCTCTGATATGAAGACATATCTTAGCTTTAACACATCTAATCAATGTAATCAGTCTTGGGCTCAAGAACAAGTACGACTTTCAGAGAATAAGTGCCAGTAACAGTAATAACTCAATATCAAATCTTATATCAACATATACTATAGTATTTATTACTAATGAGCTCTGCAACTCTATTAACCAAAGAGAAAAGTAAGTGAGAATTAACATAGAGTAGGTGGAAAAGATTTAGCATTAACAATATAGTATGACAAACTGTATTAGGAGGGATAAAGCATAAAGAAAATAAAAAGTAAAATAAATAAAAAGTGAGACAGAGAGAAGAGAAAAAAACAATGAAGCTGAGGAGAATGGAATGGAGGTGAAAGAGAAGCAGAATTCACATGGGATCCATTTCATTCAAAAAGTAAATTATATGAATTCTAAAAAATACATACAGAGAAGACACTGGGAGTTTATCTCCAATAGTGAATGCAAGACCACACATAGAGCTTCACTTTTCTTCCTGTTGAATCTTTAAATTTGCAGACATTGATTTGTTGGGTTTTGATTTAGAATCTCCCAGCTATGAAAAATTTTGTGTGATACCAATGTCATGCTCTTTGTCTGTTTTCAGCTCTGGCCCAAGCTGGCCAAACTTGCTGGAGGAGTTTGTGTGCTGAGCTCTGAACCCCCTGCCTGGCAAGCATCTGCTGTGGGATTATTGTCTGATTCAGAGCAGACTTCACTTTAAAAATGACTTTGTTCTTGTGACTGGGGTGGGAATGTGAGTGTGGTAGGGTTGTTGGGCAACTTCTAGAAAACAAAGACATCAATATAGGATCTGGGTGTCTGACACCCCTCCTTCAGAAAGCCTGAGTCCCTGTGTTGGGTTGTGTGTGTAGAATGTTTCCCTCCATCCCTCAGACCCTCTGGATCTTGGGGAGGTGGCACAGGTGCTGTGGGATGCTTTCACAGGCCCAGGGTTTTTAAACTGACCCTGATCTGTCCTATTTCCATCTCCTGCCAGCCATGGTCAGACTGCCAATTTCAAATGAAAGTGTCCTTCACTCTTCACTCTGCAGACTGTCAGACAGCTGCAGCTTGCCCCACAAAGCTTCTCCTTTTCTGTGTTGTAGTCCCACTCCTGTGTCAAGATTGATGCATGATGTGTACACCTGCCAATACGGTAAAAGGTAAGGATTAGGTGGCCATTTTTCTTGGAATTTAAAAAAAATATATACCAGAAACAATACAAAAAGGAGAAAAAGTGAAAAATGAGTGAAACATGAAAAGCAAGGGTAAATTGCAGGGATTCCTAGTCTCCCTCCCAGGAAGTACTAACAGAGAATGTTTTTAGCTGATGCCCCTTCCCCACTTTTACTCTCTGCTGGAGAGTGCCTGGTCTTTCTGTTGAGCTAGCTCTGATGAGCTTATTTTCTTCTCAGATGATGATTTTGTTGAACAGCAGCACCATTCATCTTAAACTGGGAGTAATTTGGGCCCATTGGGGAGGAGCTTCCTCTTCCCAAGTGGAACCAATGCACACCCAGAACTGCTGCTATCTATCCCATGAATTAATTCTCTTGATATTCTATAAGTTAATATTTTTGGATTTTGCCTGATTGCTGGTTTTCTGGGTTGCTTGCTATCATTTCCCCACAGTCTTTCCTTCTCCCCACAGAACTGTTGTTTTAATTCAATCTCCAGGGACTGCTGGGATGTTATAAGTTCTGGTGAGACACCATTTTTTCCTGATCTCCAAATCTGAATTTTCTTGTATATAATTTTTTTATGATGTTGGTTTTAATTTACTAATACTAGTTGGTATTTTGCATCCATAATTATAAGATATATCAGTTTGTAATTGCCCTGTGTTATCTTTGTGTTAAGTCTTATGATTACTTTAACTCGGGCATTTTAGGATCTTTTACAAGTGTTCACTGTATTCTGTATTAGAAAATACTAGATATTTCTATGAATATTTGTGAAGAAGTAAAGAATTGGTATTAGTTCTTTGAATGTTTGGTGGAATTGTCCATGGAACATCTGGACCTGAGCTGCTCTTTGTAGAAAAGTTCTTAATTTCTATTTTAATCTCATCATGCGATGTATGTCTGTGTATATTGTCTATTACTTTTTGTGTCAGATTCAGTTGTTTGTGTTTTTCTAGGAATATGTCCATTTCATTTATGTAATTTGTATAGTTGTTGTGATAATCTGATTGTTACAATATCTTTATATTTCTTTCTATGTTTATAATGTCAGTATTTCCCATTTTTCATTTTGAATGCTAGTAACTGTTGTTTTTCTATTTCTCCGTCAGTCTAGCTATTATTTTGGCAACATTGATGATATTTTTCAAATAATCACATGTGTTTTTATTAATTTCTTCTATTGACATTATTTTTCTATTTAATTAGATTACACTTTGGTTCTCAATATTTTCTTCCTTCTGTTTTCTTTAGGTTTAATTTGTTCTTTTTTTTCATGATTTATTGTGTGAAGTTTGATTGTTCATTTGTGATCTTTGTTTTTATTTAATAGATAACAATTTTCTGCTACACAATAATGGCTTTTTCTTCATTCCACAAGTGTAATGTATTATGCTTTCTTTTTTTTTCTTTTAATACTTTATCTGTTTTCCCTTTATATTTCTTCTTTCATCCAGTGTTTATTTAGGTGAATATTGATTAATTTTCCCATACTTTGAGTTTCCCAATTTTCTTTCTAAAAAATGCCTTCTGGATTTCTCCCATGGTACTTGAGGAACACATGCTCTATTGGGCCCAACCTGTATGCTCTTACTTGAAGAGCATGATTAACTGCAGCATCAGACTAAAGCCTAATTTTATCCAAAAAAAATGCTATTTCAGTACACAAAGGAGAAAGGGGTCAGGGTTTTCATCTTGCTCCTTTGGTCACTTTATAGAGATAGAAGGGGACACTGATTTCACTGGTGTAGTGGTGGCCCTATATATGACATCCTCTTGCTCAGCCGAGGGCCTGGAGCCCAATCAGTGGTCCTAACAGGAACAGTTACTCTTTAGAAACCCTTGTGACTTCCACTTTTCTGATTGTTAGAAAAGATGTAATTGCTTCAGGTAAATTTTACATTTTTCACTGAAGTGTCCTTTGTTTTTTCTTTTCCCTGCAGCAATCTTTCCATT